GAATTGATAATTGGTAAGTTTGTTAATTACTATTTGCGAATTTTGCAAGGTTTCAAGTATGGAATTGTGAAAGTTTTCTTGACCTTTCACGTTTTAACATTTAAGAGACGTTTTTATTTTTATTTTATAAATATAGGTATCAGCAATTTTTGTGTCTAAAATACAGGTAATGTGATGCTTTGATTATTGTCAGTTTATCCTTAATCATCTGCTTTATAATCTACTTTTCAATTATAAATCTAGAATTACCAATTTTTTTTTAATTCCTAATACCAAAATAAATTATATTATAAAACACATTTTCCTTCAATCGATATAAACCGAACAATATCTGTTGGTACAGAATTAATTAAAGTAAAGATTAAAGGTGTTTAAAGACCAAAACTTATATTGGTTTCAAGCTAATACCTCAAAATGAGTTTCGATAAAACGTCAAACAAATTTCCAATACAAACCAAAGAAAAGTTTTGGTCCTTAAGACTCGTCTCTAAAACAACTCCCTGATCTCGAACGTATTCTCCGTGCGTGACTCGATTTGGTAAATTATTTCATAAATCTACTCCACCGTAAATAAACAAAACAACGTTCTGATTGTCATAAATAAATTTTATCCAATCTATAATACTTCAGTTTGCTTTTAACAAGTGTACCCGCAGAGTGGTAACAAAATTAATTACCACAAACAAGAATGTTCGAGATGAAATAAACCGTAAGGAGTTAAAGGTGGACGATAGACAAGTGCCATTTACTTTACATCAAAACTATAGGAACTACATTTAGATCTGTCAGATTCATTTGGAAAATGTTCATCACGAATCTGACACGATATCACGTTAAAATACAATGCGACTATTATAACAGCTAAACTTCCCATTATAGAATGCCTTCGGTCCACGAAATCCGAGGAAAATCAGTCGCGCGTAACGGGGGACGAAAATCGAAACACAGATTTGAAATTCACGTCATGCCAAACGGATTCATGGTGGAAAAGCGAACGGTGAGTTGTTCGCGTACGGTTCTGTCAGAGTCGTAAATCAGGGGTGAATTTCGAAAATTATAGGGCGTGAAGCTGAAAGGTGCCTTTAAGCGGCGCGGGTGGATACGTGCGCCGCGCCGCGCAAACCGTACGGAGGGATAATTACGGACACCTGAAAGTCAAAATGGCTCGAGTACGGATACGTCTAGACGTAACAGCCCTGGGAATGGCCGGCCCGCCAACCCCGTGTCAGGAGCCTACCCTCGGAATTACCCTATCAAAAGGCCACAGCTCTAATTCATTATTCCGCCGCTGACGACCGCGGAGACTGTGCTTCCCAAGATGTGTCATTCGCGTTATTCGACCCCCTCCATTGACGACACTTCCCCCGAACTTGCTACCCCCTTGTGTTACCAGGAAAACTGGGACTGGTTTAATGATCCGTTTTATTAGCTTACGTACTGCTTAGTTCGAACTGTATCGTTGGTTCTAAACTATTGTGCATCTAGAATCTAAATTATCCGCCTACTTAAGTACGAGAGCGTAGATTTCTCTGGGGGTTTTTGAAAGAATATTATTGATATAGTGAAGACTGTTTTTCAATAGCAATCTTGAGGGTACAAGGTAAACGAATGATTTCTCGAAATATTATAGGAACCTCTAGATTTCCAATCGGAAATAATGTAATTGCTATAGTTGTTGATTGGTGGGTTTAAGAAGAGTTTCTGTTTTCAAAATTAACGGTGTTCTTCAATTTATCATTTTATTTGTTGAGAGTTCTACAATTTATCATAGAAGAATATGCAATCTCCGGGTTCTTTTTCTTCCCTCGCATTAGTTACTTTCTAGTCTGCACAAGTAGCTCTGCGAAGATAATTAATAGGTATCTATAGAGTTTGCAGCTAACGATTAATATTGAACATCCACAGTTTATGTCGATGAATGGAAACTCGCATACCATGTACGAAGATTTTTCGTTTTCAGATATCCGAAATGTGATTTTCTAACGGAGCATATAACTTATAATCTAACTTCTTGCGCTTAGAACCTTACAGTCTTAATGAGACTATCGATTTTAATTCTTTGCGCCCGGTGAGGTATAGAGCTTAAGCCTTCAAAACTTTAAGCCTCAATCTTGAAGACTGAATTTCTAAAGTTTACGTTCTATAGAGCTTGTACTTTTAAAACTTCAAGACTGACCTTTAACGTTAGGTTTAGATATACGTTAAGTTTATAAAAATGATTCTGTGATAGTTCAGCTTATCTAACATATCAAAAGGTAGTTACAACTGAAAGTACGTAATAGTTTAAATTATTCTTCGATCCACTACGATATTTGGACTTTAATCTGTTTTTGCATTTTTTTTGCATATTAATAGAATTTAACGTACTGGAGACAGGTATCAACAAATATTTGTTTCACTTGCGTATGATCAATAATTTATCGACTAAAAGCCTCTTAGTAAAAGGATTCTCTGATTCGTCAGATACTATCCTGTGATACGATTACCTGTCGCTCACACTTGTCTTTATTTGCATTTCTATGATTATTATGTCCATTTTATTACTTTTATTATATAGAAATATTAAACAAAGTCAAATTCTGTGAAAATAATATGTAATACGAAATAGATATAAATTACTATACACATGAATAGTATATATTCTAATCAGTAAGTTATTGAAAATTTCGAAAATACGTAAGGAAAGTTTGAAATATTGTAATAAGACCTAATGCAAATGCATTTTACAGTTTGAATTCGTTTTTTTTGCCTCAAGGTAATGACGAAAACTTTCTCGCATAACCAAAGCGTGTTTGCAGATCGAAGTCACATTGCAAATTCGAGAAATAATAGCAAAATTAGGTGTTCGCAGGCAGCAAGCACTTCGTCACAAAGGATTAACCCGAAACAGTGACGAACTACATTTCATTATTAGATACGATTGTATATGTAAACACTTATCCAGAGCTTATGTAGTTTAGACAGGCGCGTAGTGCCTGCGCGTCAGGTTGAAGCCGTTTGCCGCACGTTTAGGAATATAGATTGTTATGGCGCGTAACTTATGGGGAGGACTATCACAAACCACGACCGTTTTAACTGTTTTACGGCCAAGCCAACTGTCGCTTGGAGAACGTCGTGGAGATAGAAAAGAAACTTGCTAAAACACCATAACTTCCTTAATCCCCTGTAAACCTGAAGACCGTGTACACGTTGGAACATGTGGTAATGCATGGATTGCTACAAGTGATCGGTTTAAGACGTCCACGTCGGCATTTGAAAACATTGAAATAAATCAACGTTATTAAGTAAATTGTTTATTAAATTATTTATTAACATTTACCCACAATTTGCAAGTGAAACAACATTACGCCTGCATTATTAACAACATTACGACTAGTACATATATCTAACTAGTTACTTGCGTACCGCTATGAATCTTATATAGTAGATAATTACATCAGGAGATAAAAATAAGTAAATATATACATAAATAACAATAAATAAATAAATACAAATAAATAGATAAATAGATAACAATAGGTAGATAAGTAGATAAAAATATTATATACAGACATTGTTGATATTACAATCTATGATTAAACAGAAACATGTTCCTACGTGAATGTGTTAAGTCTTGCAGTGTATCACAAAGTGAAAAAGACTGAAACACATTGGTTTGTAGTGATTTAATATCGTTTATTTAGATTTTTAAAAATGTCACTTTCTACCCTTAACCCCTTGCTTTGTATTAACGTGTTAGGCTCATGGTGAAGATTTTGAACGGAATTTAAGAACATAAATATTACTCAATTCTTGTAAATTAAAATTAAATATTATCCTTTTGTTATTAATTATTATAGTTTAGAATTTGACATAGACATAGAATGTGCCAAGAATTTTCGTCCCTTTTCAATAAATTATTAATAACAAAGTAATTCAATTAGTAATTCACTAGTTTAATGAATGAAACTGGCATTAGCAACAAGTTATGTTTATACCGTTGCTATGAAATAAAATAAAATCATTTTACAGAAATGTTCTCTGTGTTTAAATTTCGATTTAAGAACCTACACCAACTTTTCCTGGTAATAATCTGGAGTAATCACGATAATATTGAAAATAAACGGTTACAAAGCATTCCAAACAAACCCACAAAACCTGTGACTTACCGAAAGAAAGTTCCCAACTGTAATTATCTCGTCAAACGGTAGTAAATCCGTGAAGTTGTCTAGTGGAATGTATTGGAAACACGCAATAAAAAATATGCAGTGTGTTCCAGCACGCTTTATTTGGGTACGACACAGCCGTCGGTGCGAGTAGATTTATTGTATGGACAATTATGCTCGCTCGTGTCTAACGTAATATAATTAAATTTTGAAAGCGTTTTTTTGCTAGCTGCATTTCACCCTCCGATGTCATAATTGACCAGCAATTGACATATCATAGAAAACGGCAGCGCAACCGCTTGAACCCCGAACGTGCAGCCACCGGTATCCTTGCAGGTCACAAGGGATGACGTACCCCCTACCTCCACAGCAAGTAATGTGGGCGTAGGCTAAAAAACTGTCATCGGCAACACCCCGATCGTTCGGCTTTCCGATTTGACATGAGGACACCGCCCTAAACCAGTATTTTTATACATATACGCAGACAGACATATGGACAACATAAGTTAATTACAAATCACTCTGTGCTCACTGGACAACACACACACACTTCAACTTTGTACACACATACACACTCCTTTCATTCATTATCAATCAACAAATACAGTCCACTTTCAACCGAGAAGAGGAGGGGCCTTTTTTCATTGCAACTATTTCACACAAAGTTAATTCGGCGTGTGAAAGTGTTACGCCACGTCTACTAACATTGTCTGGACAGCGTGCACGAACACAGTTAAACAAGAACTTCACCAATGTAGACATCTGGCCAATTACTTTTTTGCACGACACAGCAGGGGTAGCAACCAACATAGTTAGTCAGGACTGACGTTAAGCTCGTTACCTCTTTAATTTCAGGGCTCTCGGCCGTACGGGAAATGGTTATGTATGGACCAAGGAAGCTTGCACCAGCGCGAAGAGCGCCGGTTTATTGGAGAGAAAGCAAGCAAGGGCATGTAGAGCAACTCCGGACGTAATGCCCAGCTTGGTGCAGGCAGCGGTAGACACTTCGACAGTATGTCAGCAAGCGTTTCGACATCGTAGGTGGAATTGCAGCAGCATCGAGAGTGCGCCAGATTATACACCTGAATTATTAACCGGTATGTTTCTTAACAAAGCATTGTGAAATTCAGAAGAGAACGATGGTACGTGTTATTTTCTTCGTCAATTTGTGAAATTCTGGAAAAAGAAGTACGGTAGACCCTTGATTATCCGCTTTAATTAGACGACTAACAGTCTAGGTGAATGGAGACTCGAGAAGAAGCGTATGTTTACAGATTGTATATGGCTTGAGGTATAATCCGAGAATCCAAATCATTGGGTCTGTGAATAACCAAGACGTTGAAGGATATAGATCACGAAAAATACTCGGTTAATTAAGATCCTGCTGTAATAGATAGACATACAGCCCCTTCGTTTAACATTAGAACTGCTGAGCATTTAATATAATTGACATGTAATCCCAATAAAAATTGTAATAATAGATTATTTTCAATTTCTTCGGACATTCATTATAATATTCAACTGAAATTATTTATTTTCAAGATCTTTTCGAATATTCAATGCTTTTAAAGTATCAACCATTGCGAAACACGAAACTGAAATTAGTTATTTTGACTGTTACGGTAGTTCTAGTGTTAACACTAGATTTACGGACATTTATTGTACAGTTTATTCTATCGTTTTTAAAGAAATTGATATTCGTTCATTTAGATTTTGGAGATTAGAGGTTTAACAGTAGATAATTAGGATTGATCTGCGTCAATAAAAATTGACCTAAACATTTATCAAATACCGTTTATAAAAGTAAATCTAGCAAATCTAGCGTTAACATGTTGATCGCCCAATTGATACTCATCAAATTACTCATTCAAACAAAGAAATTTCCCTTACAAAATAGAAATTGAAAAGTCAAGACTGTTGAGAGAGATTGTTCTGTCAATTTACTTAATATGTCTCTAAGAAAATGAGTTTTTAAATATACACAAAAACTTATGTCACCCAAATTCAGGTGGCATGATGAACAAAGTGTTAACATGATTATTTGCAGATATGAAATTTATCTTACGGTGAAAATAAAAGTTTATCACAGGTTATGGTAACAAATTCGTAACTACAGTAGCAATGTTAAAAAAATGATTACTTTTTGATTATGATTGATGAAAGATACGATAAATCTTATAATTCTTTCGTATTATTACCTTGGGGCGTATGGAACCGAAGAAATTCCTGATTCTAAATACTTTGTTATTGAGGGTTAATATTTTGAATTGTTCTGGGGATCCTGTTCCTAATACAGAGGGTTACCACAAATGAATATTCCCCTTAAAGCTGCGGTGCCTCATGAAAACCGTGTTTATATCCGTAGAACAGCGCTCGTAAATCAGTAGCCTCCGTAGAGGCAAATGCCGGTCTTGCTAAGCGAATGTGCTTCAAAAACACCACTTGAGACTATACAGTAATAGGAGTTCATGCTGGAGCACTTTCAAATTTATATTCTAAATGTTCATGTTAGGACAACAACGAGAATGGGTTTATGGCATAGCACCTTTTTCGTTTTGCCGTGTGTCTAGTAGTAAATTATTTTTCAGTATTTCAGGGCAGGAAGACGTTCAAATTGGATTCCAATTTTGTTTTTAGTTTACGATCCTTTGTCAGGACAAACTCGACATTCAGTTTCATTCGGTAGCTACTTAGTTTACCAACGTTTTGGAATAATTATTTGTAATATTACAGCTGCGTCATATATCAGTGCAACTTTAATATAATAAATGAAGTACCATGTTAAATTATAATTGAGGTAACTCGATCTTATATACTGGGTGTTCACACTATTACTAGCCAGCGTTTTTCTTGTGAATCGTACATATCAGAAAAAAATGAAAGAGGAAAAAGTAGTACTTTTTTTATACGCAACACAATGGCGTATGTAATCATTTTGGGTTTATACTATTCAAAATGTTTCTTCCACTTCTGAGCTTGCATGACCTTGAAGGTGATTGTGCAGTATACGGATGAATTCGTCTAGACACACGCTTTTATGTGATATGAAGGAACATACAGATTTCCATTTAAAAAAAAAAGGTCACCTTCACATCCAACAAAATAGTATAAACCCAAAAAGATTACATACTCCATTGTGTTGCGTATAAAAAATAGTGCTACTTTTTCTTCTTCCATTGCTTTCTATTATTTACTATTTACAAGAAAAACGCTAACTAGTAATAGTGTGAACACCTTGTATAATATATTTATCAGAAGATAAGATACGTATACTGTTAATGATTTTCTTGTACTTTTCTTGCATTCAAAAGTATCTTGAAGAAATGAGACCACGACTAATAATAACGAATTTAATCAAACATGATGGCTGTAAAAAAATAAAAGTGTATTGTCTTAAAAAATATTTGAAGGAAGTAACAATATTAATCCCGAATATTCTAGAGCATCTGGGATTACAAAGTTTGTTCACCAGACGTGCGAACATCAGGTTCGCAATATTCAGGATCAACGCGAGTTTATATGCCACCCCGTGTGTTCTTCTAGGCTATACGCAATTTTTCTAGAAATCACGTAAAAGTAATGCATTCAAATTTCGTTTTCTAAAAGTTTGACTTATTTATTAACATTTCTAGATAAGCGAACTGATTAGAATAAAATATTGCTATTAAAATTTGATTAGCATGTTGTAAAATCCTGATTTTCCAAGAAGAACTTGGAGGGAAAGTAGAAGCCAGTTCAATAAACCTTTAAGGCGGAGCACAGCATGGTTTTATGCTAGTAACTCGCATAAAAGCCTGCCAGGAGCTAGCAGGTGACATCTCATCTACTAGCACGTTTACACATAAAGAATCACGCTTGCAAAAAGCATACGAGGAAATCGCACGGCATTTGGTTTTTGACGTGCTAATGGCACACGATATGAACTGGAGGTAAGAAACGGTGTAAAATAAAGCAAATCTGAACGCGTTCTCTTCCCGGCAGCGTACGAGTATTAAGCAAGCTCTCGTGTCTATGATCTACCCGCAGGCCAAATCGATTAAGTCCATTTCTCGAATTTTTAGAAAGTTTAGTGCCAAAGCGCTTTATTGATGCTCAATTTTTTGTGTCTGAAATAAATGTCGTTAACAATTGTTTTCATCCCTTGTCCTATGATTTATTTCTCAACTACGATCGCCACGACTACTTTGTTATTAGTAATTTATTAAGAAAAAGAAAACAATTATAAGCATATTCTATATGAATCTTTGCTAGAAAGTATAATAATATAATTGAGAGCAGAAGGATAAACAGAATTTAACAAGCATAAAATATTATTTGATTCTTTTGAATTTAAATGAAAATAGTTATTATTAACACGTTCAATTCTGTATTTTACACACAGAAGATAAAATTAATTCTACATATATTATTATTTGAAGTTATAATACACATCATTATATTTAGGAATTCAATGACTCGTATCAGTTTTGTTTTTTCAGTATATTGTTCAGAAGACTTGTTGGACTGAATAAAATATTTACAATTGGGAAGATTGAAACAAACGCTGGTAAAGAACGTGTTACAACTATATTTTCTTAATTATAGCAGTTTAAATTTTTGATTTCTTGTGACGTAACGTGACCTTATGTCATGAGTCATTGAACTCCTCTTAAAGAGCTCTTTCAGGCAATAAGGAAGAGAGTAGTATAAAGGTCCATGTAAAGGAGCAGAATTGCCCTTGAGACTTCTTTGACGCCCTCACCTTAACGCGACCGTAGTTATCAAATATTTTCCCCATACGAACAGAATATCTTTCATTCGATAAATTTATTCATACCTCTTTCAGTGTCGACAAAAATTGAATGTGTATGCAATAACTTAATAATTCATACAATTTTGTAAGAATAATAAATATCAGATACGTAAATCATTTGTATTATTTAAATAACTACTTTTAGATGATATTTTCAGATAAATATTTATTTTAAATTATTTAAAGAAAATGTAATTGTATTTACAATCAGAAACAAAAAGATTTAATAATGCCGCGAGAAGATAATTAATTCTCAAATAAATATTCTGAATGATCAAAGTATTTATTAGCTGTTATTTTCAGTTATCTGTTATCTTTACTTCGACTATTCCACTATAAGGGATACGAAAATAATGGATGATAGTTACGGTAAAGTTACGTGTCTATAATCATTTATCATCATTTTCTTCGCACTGTAGATTTCTTTAATCCCATAGAGACCAACAGGGTCAGGCGTACCTAGGTTCATCCAAACCTTCATTTCAGTCGTCGATATAATGGTGAATTATATACACCCACTAGATTGATTGGATAAAACAAGAAATATTGGAGAACATAGTTTTGTGGTTATATTACATTGGTTATATTCTTCCTTAGAATTACTATTAAGTACTTCTTCCTTTACAAGAGGTAAACTTCCAGATATTATCATATAGTCAAGTAGTGAATTAATTGTAGTAATGATTAGTTCACAAAACATATTATTAAAACGTTGTATAAACCCGTTACCGATTTTACTTTTCTTAAAATATATTGGTGAATGTTATATAATAAAATCATTATGAATTTATATACAAAAATAAAATGGATATAATAATTAGACTTTTTCGTATAAAGTTCAATTTATAATAAAATCATACCTATGGTATCTAATTAGAATTGGTTACACATCTGTTTGTTCTTATCAGATCAGATCAGATCAGATCAGATCAGTATTAAATATTCAAATTTGATAAAATAGATCTTTACACAAAAATATTTTATAAAAAAATGTCTTGAGTAATAGTCATTATGAAACTGCTTTATTCATTCTGTTTACAAATTAATCGATAGAAACAAAATCGTTCATTAGTATGCAGATCCTTCGTTAATGAGAGAACGGAGAAGCTCAATTTCAGTTTCGATACTGATGAAAAACACGGCCGTTCAATATATATATATATTGGAAGATTTAAGGGGATCCCCTTTGCCAGTATGCTAATCAGCTTTTCTTCAATTATTTGGAATTAATAGCCAAAAGGAGAGAGTACAAATGCGGTCTCCGAAGACACCAGAAATGCTCTTATCAATTAAAATTCTTGAAGGTATAACATCTATTCTGCCTTATAATTGCTGATGTTGGAAACTTTGTACTAACAAATCATAGTACTGTTACATTGATTTTAATATTACAAGAAGCATAAAATATTTAATAACTTAACAATGACACCTATACCTTTTTATTTTCCAATGTTAAAGGAACGTTGATCTATAAAATTGAAAATTTTATGTAATGTTGATTTCAAATTTATTTATTACATTACAAATGAATATTGTCGATAAATATTAACAAATATACGCTTACTTTAATTTCAGCAAATTATCAAATTTCTACTATAACTATTTATTATATGATCTGATATCACATTCGCGACCGGACATAATTTAACAAAGTCTATAATTGAATACCACAAGGGTCTACTATTTAAAAGTATGTGAAATCAAAAATGTATGAAGCAACTATATTCTCAACACTCAACCATAGATTTTGGAATGACGAATTCATTGAAATCGCAACAAAAATATGAATTCTTCTAAAAAATGTAAACGTTAGACTACATTGCCACTATTCAGCTGAAGAATTTAAAATGACGCAGGACTACGTTACCAGTCTCGAAAGTATTAAGTAAATATAATTAACATAGCGGTCCGCAAAAGTCATCAGAAAACTGTAACATCGTTTTCGGTTTATTTACAAACTTTTAGCTGTTATTCTATAGAAAACAAAGATGTCCATGAATATTTTTATTATTTTATCGTAACTATTATTTCGTTTGTGTAACAGGAACGAGAGAACAGGCTTTTGTTTACGCCATGTCGGCAGCAGCTGCAGTTTGGAGGCTGGCAAGAGGTTGCGCGTTGGGAAGCCTAGCAGCTTGTTCCTGCGCAACACCGCCTCGAAGGGAGCCACCCTCACCATCCGCTTTGATATCACCGTCATCGTTCACCGCGACGTCGGTTTCATTCGGGACACTGTCTACCAGGAATTCTTTCAAATGGGGTGGCTGTGGCGATGACGTAAGATCAGCATCCCGGATGGCAAAAAGGTTCCTTCAGGGCGCAACGCCTCCTGGTACCGGTGCAACAGCTAAGTTCATGCACGCTGTTAATATGCACAACAATCGGGCAGGTCGAAGGGTAATTAATACACGTATTTATACATTCCTTTGCTTCCATTGAATTTCATTCTGCTTAATTTTTAACACATTCCATGCAGTGTAAGTTTTATGCGGTTTTTCATCTAGTTCTCATAGGTTACCAGTGACATGTAGTATATTTATTATAAATAATAATATACCTCTACGATTATTTATATGATTATAATAATATATTTATATGATTTAATAGTATAATTAAGTGATTGTATATTAATTATAATATGGAATAAAAATTATTATTACAAAGGAATGGGTATAATGTACCTAACAAAATCAAATTTGAAGCAAATTAAATATATTTAATGAATAATAATGGAAAGGTATATTATGTTCAATAACAATCGTTCAAATAGTAGCAAAAGATAATTTTGGAATGAAACATGATGATCTTATATTCTTTGATTATGTTTTTTAGATGTATGTATGTTAATTCGTCAATGCATTTCTTTATTATATAATGTACTGGCTTATTCAACTTATAGGTATATAATTGTAATTATATATCTGAATACTAATTCTAAGTCACTAAAACATTTTACTCTTAATTCGCTCAAAGTTACTGATATTTTCATGTATGCTATTACCATAAGGCGGTTGAACAATCGTTGACCTTGGAATGTAAGTGCCACGGCGTATCTGGATCGTGCAGCGTACGCACCTGTTGGAGAGGACTCGGTACTTCGGTGCCTACGGCTGCAGGAAGTCGTCTCCTTCGAAGATATGCAACTGCGGCGGAGGTTCGACCGAGATCCGGTGGAAGGCTGCCACCACTTTATCATCATGATAATCTACTATACACTACTAAAAGTCCGGACTATTGTCTTCCTGATAAAAAAAGAGGAAGCCTGGGAACTATTGGCAGGTCAGTTGAACAGCTTGATTTTTAGTATTCCTAGATAATGCACAACATAAATAATACAAATGGTCATCGTATAAATGAACCTTTGAAAACCAGAATGACCAAACTGTAAACTCAACAAATTGTTTCAAATAACGAGGATCTGATGTTGAAGCAATTATTACTTTCTCAGAAAATAGATTTTTATTTGAAAAATTGAAAGCTCTTATTATTAGAAAATAGGAATTTCGTGATTAGATCACTCCAGTTTTTAATGGCTTAAATGGTATTATACAATAATTATTGTTATTATAACAAATAATAATTATTTTTGGTAATTGATGAATGGTACATTTGTCACTATATGCACAGGTGAAAACTATTTACTAAATAGGAAATTACAAAAGAATCTTATATTTGAATAGCTAAAAGAGAATAATATTACATACACACTCTTTTGCATTGCATGAGATTGTGAAAGTATCTAGACATAAATATATCTATAATTTATTAGTCTGCAGAAGGAACAAATATTATTCCTCGTAAGCATCCAGTATTATCAAGAGATATTAATACTAATCATATAAATAGAAATTAAAAAAAATATATGCTTATCCCTTTTTTGTTTCAAACACTTTATCAGGCACTCAATTTGCAACTCCAGTGCACTTTAATAGTAAAACCTCTAAAAATCAGAATTCTTATAATCAAAAAAATTTACGAATAATTTGGGCAGTTTCAGGCACGTTTTATTTTCTTTACGTACTTTCATGTATTAATTTGTATTTCTGTCACAAACTTACTTTTATAAATAACAACACGTGTCATAAAATGATGCATACTGCTTATGCAGGCGATGGGGTTGCGATGCAAATTATGCGTGTCCTCGTAGCAGTGCCAATTGACTTATGAAGCATAGTACGAATGTCTCCATAACAGAGCCAACCGCGTGCAGAGGGTTAAATAATATAAAAATAGAATGGGCGCGCCGAGATTGAAATTGCCATCCAAAAAAGTTAGATTGTATTTCTATTCAAGAGATTCTACTGAGATTCTTAAACCTCCCATTGTGACTGGATCCGATCGTAAGATAATGAGCATTCAATAGAACGTCACTTATTCCATAAGATATACAGTATTTTGATTGGATAATTCTATCGATCCGTCTAATCAGCTGTGAATAGATAACTGACTGAACTATCACATACAACGTAGCCAATTTATAGATGAAATAGAACAGTGAACGTCAAAGTTCATTAATATACATTACGGATGTCCGACTCTATTGCGTATCGATCTAAAGCTCTTTTGCTAAGTAGTAATACTAATTCTTTCTGCAAGTTTATTCTCGTCGCTACTGTTATCGACTTAACTGAATGATGTACAAAAGGAATACTCGTATGATTCGTTTATGTAACTGTGTAATTTATGTGTCAATCTGATCGTGCTATACCTTTATTATTGAAATAGAGTATTTCGGTTTATAACATTAAATTGTTACAATAAATATCAACGTAACGGAAAGAGAACTAAATTCTTGTAAATATTTTAATGTTCGTTGATAGAAATCAAAATCATGGATAGAACAGAATGAAACTTATTCGTGCAAATAGATCTTGAGCTCAAAAATTTTGATGGGAAACATGAAAGTCTATTTTTATTTTCTTCATTCATAGAAGATGCATTCATTCACCTTTATTTTATTTCAAGATACAACCAGTCAAATAATTTTTGTTAACTCCTTGACCTACAATATCGTGTCAGGCTCGTGACGAAGATTTTAAACTGAATTTGACAAATGTAAATGTTAGTTCTTTTTTTTTAATACAAAATAAATATTACTTTGCTATTATCAACTGTTAACCTTTTGAGTGAACGTAGATATAAAATAAGCATCAAAATTATTTCTTTTCCTAATAAATCATTAATTATAAAGTAGTCATCTCGATTATAGTTAAGAAATAAATCACAGGACAAGGGATTAATATGAGTAGCGATCATATTTTAGTTTTGTCCAATTATGATATTAACAGTTTTAAATTTTACAGTGTCTGGTAAAGTTAAATGTACAAAATAGAATCATTAAGAAAATAAATATATAAACTATAATGAAATGGACACTTTAAATAGAAATGTCTAACTGTCTCAGTTACTTACACTTTCGATATCAACTAATTGATCTCACTAATATAAGATTTATTTCATTTCGATCTCCTTTCTTTCGCATTAAACAAAAATAACAGCGAAGATAAGACTACCTGCCTACTTAGCGTGTAATATATCTTGCAGTGCATTACGACAGTTTACGATCTGCTATTCAACACGTTTGCAGCTTTTATTTTTGTCTCCGAACTAGTCGACTAATCGGTACCTTGTACGAATAAAATACTTCGATCCTGTACATCCGCTCGATTCTTCAGGTTTTTCTCTTGTCATCGCGACTCACCAACCACACACAACAAATTCCTTCGTCCGACCATAGTTATCTTCGACACAGCCAGATACTAGCTTTATTTATGCGACTGTGGCGGTAATTACCTATGAGAGAAGACCTTCGAGATAGGGCGGAATCTCATTTTTCCTCGTGATCGAGAAACCTGTTCTCAAAACCGAATAAATCCCCTATTTTACGATATTTGAACGGATCTCTTGATCCAGCGCGGCTACAACTTCGATAATTTAGATTCCGAGAATCGTACCTAGACGCGTGCAATATTCGAAATAAAAAATTCGAGAGTACATAATTACAAGTAACTCGAGAGATTATAATTATTATAATACGCTGTATTATGTAAACGAATATTTGTGAACGCATTCTATAACTTAATCGCCTTAATCCGTTTATTTGGTAATTAAGATTATACACATACTGTAGAGCTCATTGAAAATTAAAAAGGGATTATCGAAATGTAGTACTGTACATATAAAATTTATAACATTAATTGATAAAAAGTTTCTTTATATATTTTATAAAATTTGTTTCTAAATTTATAAAAGACAAGAAACTAAAGGAAATTACCATTTCATTTCGGATCTAACTCAAAGTGTGCACAAGAATGTAGTAATGCTAAACATGTACGCACATTGTTCTATAAATATGTAAAGAAATATACTTTTATGTATTTTAACATTTTACCATGTTACCCGAATTTTGATTGCATAGGGACAATTAAAATCAGTGACTTTTACTGGTACGGTACTTCTAGTATTATATTTATACAAAAAGGTATGTCACCCAGATTTTGCAATTACTGACAGCATAAATCGGACAGCATATCAGAAATAACTTTTAAATTTTAATAGTTTCGCTTAAATAATGTAACGAATACCAGACAGAAATTTTAAAAAATTGATGTTCTATTTAGATTTTGAGATTTTGTAGATTAGATTTTATAGATTAAAAGATAGACAACTAAAATATACATTTGTGTTATTCATTAATCAGAATCGACGCAAGCATTCACTAAGTAACGTTTATAAAGCTCAATATGCGTCAAACTGACGCATTCCGTAAACCTAGTGTTAAATCAATAAGACCCAAGACAGTTAAGAGGGCAATCGTTGTGAAATATCTTGACTTCTCAGTTCCCATTTTGTTAGGAAAATTACTTTGATTGTAATTCGGTGACTGCCGATTTGGCAGACTCCTTGATTTACAGTATCGTGTTAGACTCGTGACGAAAATTTTAAACTGAGTTTGAGAAAGCTAAGTGTTATTTCTTGTTTTTAAATACAAATTGAATATTACTTTTCTGTTATCAACTGTTAATCTTTGGAGTACACGTAGACATGAAATGGGCATCAGAATTTTTTCTTTTCTAACAAATTATTAACGATAAAGTAGTTGTATCGGTCATAGCTAAGAAATAAATCATAACGCAAGGGGTTAAGAAGTAACGTTTAGTAACATACGTTTCGAGTGTAAATGGCTACGAAAATCAGACGTAACGATCATCGTTAGCATAAACAGGAGAAAATAAAGGAGAAATGGTATTCCTTTCGTCGGTGATTGCATTCGCTATGGATTTTCCGGTGGTAAGGCAGATGGAGCGGCTTCATCGCTCTCAATTATTCACGCCTTAGTCTTCGTGAATTAAGATCACCCACGATATTCTGAGAATAGTGACTGGTTGGAGAAGGCAGAGGAATTGTGTTGGTTTGAGAAAGTTATCGTCCACGGTGTTCTGTTTCTATTCGTCGATTTATGATTAAATATTTATGCATCGAAATAAGAGCTATAATTTCCAATTACTTTATATAATCATTTTTATATTAAATAGGGCCAGTACATGAAATACGCCCATTCCTCCTTTATTTTCTCTTGTTTATGCTAACGATGGTCGCTATGCATGATTTTTATAGCCATTTGCACTCAAAACATATTTTATGAATACTATGTTGACGGAACGCGTCAATTTGACGCATATTGAAGTGCATTTATGAATATTATTTAGTAAATTTTTACATCGACTTCGATTGATCGCAGTAACGCAAATGCGTGTCTTAATTCTCGATCTTTAAACTTCGAATTTCCAAAATCTAAATGAACGAACATGAATTTTTCTAGGCCCAATAGAATAAATTGTACAATAAACTTTATATTAATATTATATCTTCTCATTCAAGCTCTGCATTTTATTGAAATATATTTCAGAGTTTCAAGTACTGAATTACAATGTAAATTGTATATCACATGAAACCTGTCCCTTCATACCAAATTTGCATAGTATCATAGAACAACTTATTTTTCATTTCTCCTGCTCTACAGTTTTTTTTTATCTTACTTCGTAAAAACCAGGATCGTTTTATATGATTCATCAATAATGGCTAAAATGGTACTTTTTGTTTTACAAAAAGTATCTTTGTTGCAACACAACTCTCAGAGCTTTCGATATACATATATTAGAGTAAATTGAATGCAAATTTATGCAAGTCTGCATTCTCAGAATCTAATCTTCAAAATACGCTTGAATATACGCGTACAACCCATGGTTATGTATCGTATACATACGTAGTTATGACAATCTCGCAAAAACGGAGCAAGAACAAAGTGACTTTCACGAGTTGTACAAGTTATGGCGTGTTTTACACAGATGCAGTGTTAAGTAAAAAAAAGAATTCGGAAAGTATACGGAGAAATGGTCGAAGGCGTGCCGTAATAAACATTCACCACGCCCACTTTGTATAATTATATGGAAGGTTATAATTACCGGTTGTAAGCTGTAACCGGCGAGCCATACGGCCAGTGGTGCCCAAAGAAAATAATATATTATTCGTATATTAGTTAGGACAAATGAAATATTGGTGGCTACTCGAAAGTAGCAACCGATTACATAGTTTGTAAAATACTCAGACCGCAGTCTTGCATAATAATTTCTTCATACTCATTAAATATTGTAGCAAAGTGGTTTAAATGCTTAGATACGGTATAATTTTTAAATGATATTAATATCGATTAATTATGTATATTTATTTATAATGTATCAAATTAAAGATATAGTATCTAACGTGTTTTTTCAATTTAATTTAATTTTACGTATCAATTTTACCTTAATATTTCCGTATGTGTCACTATCAACATTAGTTAAACAGATCTGGTTAATATTTCTTTTAGAATTATTTAAGAATTTTTTATTATTTCATTTTATTTCTAATGAATTATTTCTTACAAATGAACCAAAATTAGTTAATGGCATGGACACATCGGATGTCAGTGTGTTCAAATGTATGGTTTCACCTCATAAAGCATGTTATTATTCTATTACCCATTAGTTTGAATTATCACATTTTATCTACCAATTAATATTTCATGAACATATCTATCTATTCTCACAAAACTTTTACTTACTACCTTTGTATAAACATAAAAATGTGATACCAAAAGGATGAATTCTTCACAACATTAAATATTTTTGAAATAGAATTTTTGTCACGCGACCTGTGTATTATCGCAAGATTAATGATTTTAATCTTATAAATTAAACTTTCTTTCAAATTAAAGAAAGTCTTGAAGCTGCCCCTTTTTTCCATCCCCTAAAATGTACGTAGCCTCTTAAAATTATCTTCGTCGTAGAAATTTAACACAAATGATTTCGACAGTAACCTGAGACCCTCGAATATCTCTCTAACCAAATTTAATTTATTATTAACACGTTAGAAGTCTGTCTTTAGAAGCAAATATTATATATGAGTCGGGTCTGTACCTTGATCCAATAATGTTGAAAATAAAATAAAATTAGCATTCCTTCACACGTAGAATCTTATAATATTCGAATATAAAAGAAAATGAATCTATGAATTCCAAAACAGCACAGGTCGATCAATGAACATTTCGAGAAAATGAATTTTTCTATTTATCTTCATTCATTCATTATCTACTTTTTTAATTCGTGCTGTAAGCATTAGCAACACATACGTCTTTATTATGTATACGTTTTTAATATTATTAAACAGATCTGAAAAGCGGTTACAACAATAACTTATGTGGATAACGTTAGAAAGTGGACTTGTGCTGTTTTGGAATTGACGATTTCAATTGAATACACATTGATGTTAATATTGACTAACAAAATTAAACATCATAAAACATTTTTTATTATCTTCCAAGTAATTTACATATGGCCGTATTAAATAATTTGTTAGCTAGGTTATTCGGATACATCTTCTGTCCAGCTTTGTATCTGTTTGAGTATATTCTACTTCTTCTTTAACAAATATGATTCCTAGGTGTTTCCGTTATTATATTCCGTTATAAATATTGCAGAATCATGAAATAACGTGAGATATCCTACACAATCCTACTAATAGGAGTTATTTCTTTGCGCAGGCAATGCAACGGCAGTAGCTCTGGATACGAAGGTTGCGAATACCTTTGCTGCGGTCGAGGGCATATCACAAAAACGGAAGAGATCCTTGAAAGATGCGACTGCAAATACTTCAGCTGCTGCTACGTGAAATGCAAGACGTGCAGGAAAGTCGTAAAGACGTTCGAGTGCAAATAAATGCCGAATACAGGAAAAGCCAGAACGGATACCAATCCTTATTAAACCGACGTAAACGGTGTATGTGCACTATTTAAGAGAACTGCATACGCGATAAAGGATTTAAATTATTTATGCAGTATGATTGTATGATTAATTGTCGTGAAATCCGAAACATTCCGAAAACGTGACAAAAACGCGTAATTTGTAGCAGTTTTTCGAGGTCGATACGATTACATGAAAAACTGTACGAGCTGTGTGTACGAGCACTTAAGTGAATCAAATGATCGTCTAAGTAAATTGATAATGATCGGAAAATTTCATAAAGCGTAAATAATAAGAATATTTTGTAGAACTTATTTATGTCGCCTGATATTTATTACATTTTGTGTGTTCGATCTATTACGCCTGCAGCATGGGGTTCTCGATCAACTGTTTCAAGATAACTGCAGTATTATCAAAGGATATGTTTGACAAGGAAATTCGATCGTATTGGAAAACTAAAAGCGCAGACAATTGACTATTCACGTAGGGATAATAAAATATTCATTCACACGAGTTGAACATCGAACAACACTGCTTCGGCGACATTCTAGACACACTTAAACATGATCAATACGATGTAAATAACTTGCTAAATCTAATGTAGTTTATATGGAAATTATATAATAAAGAATACTTCACATACAACAGTGTGTTTTTATTCACTTCAAACGATATATTTCATTGTTCCGAGTATATTCGTTGGTGCATGAAATCAGTGCAGAATTTACGAATTAAAAATTCGATGTATTGGCTTGATGCAACAATTCTGACGCTTTTCATTCGTGGCTAATAACAACTTTTTTGTCGTCGAAACAAATAACATTTGTTTTCAAACTATTATAACGTGTGTAAAGGATACTTCTTTCTTCGTTTTTATTTAGTTTTGGTTTAACCAGCGAACAGCCGAGAATTCTTCTTTTTATTTCTTACAAGAAAACGTCAGGACTTTTCGCATCAACCCATTATATAAGATTTTAAATATCAAAAATAAATAATAAGAAAAGTAAAAGAAAATGATCGAAGAAGTACATACAATTTTTTAAGAGCCAATCTTAATGCACCTCGGATCTGATATGAGCTTCGATGCTTCGTTCGAATCTCCATTTTCGTCTTTGATATCCAAATCTTTTATAAAATCACACCAATTTATGCCGGTGCCACAATCTGGTTCCTTTTCTGACGCCCACCAGAGAGCAGTCTACAGAATATTTAAATGTAACAATAAATTATCCTTAACACTAACCATACCGGTACTTGGTATATAAGTATATGCTTATTCATATCGTAATCAGTTAAATAACTGGCTACAAAAGAAACGTAAACAAGTCAGATAATGGATTTTTCTTAATGGAAAAAGAAACAAAAAGGAAGACAAAAATTGAAAAACTAATACGATTGAATAATATAAGAATCAATATAAAATTAAATGAACGAAAGAAAACGCAGAGATTTTAATGAAATTTTAAACCTGGTTATTTGATCGGTTCGCGGTACCTTATAAAATATAATAAAGTACAATCCTATCAACAATTTGGGAAATATATTCTTCCAGTAAAGTAATTCTCACTATAAATTAGTTTTTTATATTTTTGTTTCAATAATACCTTGATATTTATTGGTGGTATAGGTGGAACAGGGTCAATTTTCACATCCATAAATCGCAATAGATCATTGTAGTCCAATTTTCCTTCCTCGTTTCTTTGAATGCTATGTCGTAAATTATAATATTATTACAATCAAATTAGAATCAATTAACTAATTAACAATTTCATGATTAAAAATTAATTAATTTAATAATCAATATAAGTAGAAATATTAGAGTTATTTATTTCTTAAGGTAAAGTATTTATATAAAGAAAATTCTTATATTTTAAATTAAATTGTTATAATTATTTAGTATCATTAGTTATCTTTGTATATAAGGTACAATGCGATAATCTACGAAGTAATAAATAGATATTAATAAAACATAGAATATAGGGTTAAGAAAGAAACAGAACATTATTCATAATTGATCTAAGAAAATTAAAATACTGAAAATTTACGTACTGGTCAAGCATAGAATTTAATAGCTCCACGTCAGCTGGAATTTTAGCTCCTCGAAGTACACTGTACATAGTGTCACGTGGTAAAAATCCTGTTTGTCCTCTATCCCAATGATGAAGACTCTCTTTCAATCGATCAAGATCCATCCATAAAGCTCGGGAAAGCTCTGTATGAATCAATCGCCTAAAGATCATTATTATAAAATAGGAATGAATGAAAGAAAAAATTTCTCTCTTAAAAACAAAATAATAATACACGAACAGGTATTACCTCACGTATTCTCGATTATGCAATTCTCTTTTTTCCTGCGAAGAATAGTGTCGAGCAATCGTAATCATTTCATGTTCCGTAATTTTCCCTTCCGAATACTTGTAAATGATTTCCCTGAATCAAAAAGTATTTAAATTACCAATAATCAAATTATTTATAAATAAATTACATAGTATAACATATTGTAACATTTTTCCATTTTTGTTTACGAACAAATGCAGTAAAACTAAAGACAAATCTCTTCTTTCAAAATCATCTTTGTTTCACTAATGTAATATATTTTCTTTTTTGTATATAAAAAAACGTAATTTAACAATAATAAAAAACGAATACACCGTCATTTTATATTATTGTTTATGAAAGTATAGCAAATTCTAATATAAAAATAGATTAATTTTTCATCGAGGAGTTTCAGGAATAAAATAAGGACTCACAAATAATAAATAATGATTATATTGATCTCGATCTTTATTAACCTTGTTTCCGAGTTGTCGTTCTTAAAATTCAATTATTCTCATTATGTTAGATGTGACTTCCGGAATATGAAATCTTGAAGTACGTATGTCATAAAATCAATAGAAGCTTCTTTAGACATTTATAGATCAAATTATATATTACATAGTATATTAGACCAAAATGACCATTTCTAAAAGTTGCTTCAAAACCATAGTTCTACGACCTTCCACGAGCATAATTATTATAATACTAAGAGACACAAACGATTTGGCTACAAATACAAATATTCATACGAACATTATTATTTGTAATAATACGTTACATACAACAAGTGTACAATTTTCTTCGATTAAAATACTTAACTCTTTAAAATTTTAAGTGAAATTATCCCTTTAATTGTAAAAACTTTGCATTTAATTCGCTTCATCTAATTATTTTACAATATGTACCTGTTACAAAAATAAAGTACCTTAATTTCTCGTAGGACAAAATCTGAAGTTCATCGTCCGTCTTTATAGGCGTATAAAGTTCTACGAATTCCTTGTAAACTGGTTTCAAAATTTTCCGCAATTTGGCCAGTATGCGCTTGATATTAGCCTGTGGAAACTGAAGGACAAAATGTCTCAATATTTCTGGAATGAACGAGTAAAAAATGGATGTCGCAAAAAAACGGTAATCGCGCGCGTGTCGAGTTGAAAACACGAGGAATAGTAAACTTATAGACGCAACGGCTACAAATTACGGAACCTTATCGCGGTGTAACTCCATGTAACGAAGAGCATAAACGTCAGCCGAAGTGAGTTCAAAGATAAAATCGTTCAAGTTAACACGTGCTCCGATATAGAAATCTTCTGGTTTGTAATATTCCGGTTTCCTGCTCGCAAATATTTCTTGATTAGGCAACATTATTGGCATTCTCTTTTGGAAAAGACGGCGCGTGAAGCCTGCAAGCATACGAGCAATTTATGCAATAATTAAACCATCTTCTATGGAAAATATATTGGAAATAAGACTATATTTATATAAAGTAGGGTACATAGAATTTTATACATTGTGTTTTTAAGCATAATTAAGAACGATGGAAAGATTTTTACGTACTTTGTATGGCATTTACGAGAAGTAGACTGAATAAAATATTAAATTAAGTTGAATAAAGTATATTGAGTGAATTTGTTTTAAAACAGTGACGGTATTAGAATTTATCATTTGAAATTTATTATTGAAATACTACAAAAATTACTTAGTATCACAATTAATTAGTATCAGATCCATTTTCTCTGAAATTAGAGAAAATTAATTCTTATATAAAAAGAATTCATTGTTTGAAGATCATAATTTTTGTATGTATTCCTTGTACATGGTATGTATTAAATGGCGATGAGTTGGCGAAATATATAAAAGAAATATTTTTATCCATTGAAACGCTGAAATTTTTCTTCGATAAATTGTAAGCATTTTAATTTCATTTTAAACATTTCATATATCATTTTTCTTTTGGTTGCACTCAGTATTAATATTTGTTTCTACAGATATTTTAAAAAACTTTGCCAAAGCTTTACCATAAAAGAGAAATTGCTAATAAAATATGTTAGCCATAGTTGTATTTTAAAAACGATATAACCACTAATGAATTATGTACTGGTATCTTTAATATATATTTACACAGTTTCTAACATTATTGTAATTTCTATAAACAAGTGTAGGTTATTTTACATTTTATCGAAGAATTGCACTTAGTAACTATAGCTGTAATAATACTTCACCCGAGTTTCTCCTTGCCAGTTCAAAAATGGAAACCGTATCATCCATCAGGAAAACTCTTATGATGAACAATCTGTCTTCATTTTCTGGTATATTCGATATCATTTTAGCCCTAAATCTCAAAACGTGGTTATCGAAACCTTGCCTAAAATAAAGTCGAAAATCTAATCCCCACATTTCGCACTGATATCATTTATCTACTTGACAATACACGTACTTGTCGTAATACAAAAATTTCATAAGATCCATTTTGGGTGGTTGTGGCAGCACCGTAAAACAATTCCCAAGAGAATCATCATACGAGCCGAAACCATTGTAAGGTGGAATGTACTTTTCCACTTTCATGCAAACATCATCACCCTTTCGAGGTTTCTCCAAAGGAGTGAAATCATCTACTCCATATTTCTGCCTTGAATACGATAAAATGATTACAAGCATATATTTATATCCTTGCATGTAAAGTTTAAACAAATCGCAATATTCATTAAATTATACAGCACATATTAATCTACAAAACACTAAGTTTTACCAAATCTGCATTTTTCTTTTACTTAAACTATTATTGAATTATATACATAATATTCATTTGAAGTTTTTCTTAAAGAATTATGATAAACAGTATTGTTAAAGCTATCTGAGTACACGATCAAGTTGTACTCATATTTGTAAAAAGTATTGTTGAATCATTACTGAATAAGCAGCCATAACAGTGTATTCGTTGTAATTCTACTAACATTAATTATATAAGAATTACAATTATATATAATAAGATTTTATTATATTTCCATATTTTAATAAACAGTGTGCTCTCTGTTATCTTGTTATTCATATACAGTACAACAGTATTCAATCATTTCCTCGTTGATGAATAAATTAAAACTTTCGTCTATCCTTTTGCATATATTCACTCTTACATGTCGGCAAATACTTGAAGGGTTTCAAACTGGTACGCGGTTGTTGTTAGACGCAATGAGCTGCCATAAACGTTTAGCGGCAGTTTGATCTTGTAGAACTGGCGTAACAAGTTTGGAATCACAATCTTGCCCTTTTACTTCGGCATCGCTGTTTGACGCACTTTCACCGCGCAATGTAAAAAGTGATTTCTTGTATTCCATTATAAATACTATGTTAAACGCACGAATAAAAAATAAAACACTAAGAATAACGAAAACAATACAAATTAATGAAATAAGTAAAGCAATAAGAAATAGACTTTTCTATGAAATATAATAAATTTCATTTGTTGTATACAACTTTTTCGTCAGATTCACACACGAAAGTAGTTCGCATAGTCTACTTCTACACTTCCTGTTACAGATTTACCATAATGGTGCTCAGGTATAGTCATTTTGAGTATGTTATCGCTCATAAAACGTGCAGTCATCAATCATCACTCTGGCATGCTACGTATGCTAATTCTCTGAGATATATTGATAGTTGTCTGACATATCGTCGATGTTACCGTTGTAGATCTTGCCATTTAACTCCGATGGCTCTTCATCACAAGCTTAAGAACATAACACTTAGCCAACCGAATGAGATCTCCTATTTCTCCATTAACAACGCGTTCTCATTTTACCTAGTTTTTTCTTTTATTAAGTAGTTTTAATTTTTGTTATTTAAACAATACCTTCCTTGCTTTTACAAAACAGAATTTTTAATCAAATCTGTTAAATGAGTTCGATTAAAGTTAATGAAAAAGATTATAGTTGATTGCGACCAGAATTTTAAGTTTTATATAGTAATACTTATTCTTTCGTAACAAAGGCAAACGGTATTCGAAATAGTTAATAATGATTTCGTATTACAGTATTACAGTATTAATGTATATATGTTACTATTATCTAGCTACTTATATTACTAAATATTTTTATTCAACATCAATTTTCTTATTGTCATTGTTCTCGAGCAATTTGTTAGTCAACGTGGTAAAATCATTTTGAACACATATTTAAAAATATCAATGGTACTGAACATGTTTAATAATAGCACTTGAATAGATATTAAAATCATTTGTGTTGTATTTCACCTGTAATAATCCTTTGTAAATGTATCCATATCCGTTATAACAATCATCCTTCCAAAAATATTTATCTGTGCGCCAATACCGAGCTCGTAGTCTTTATAAATTTCTTTGTCTACTTTCCCAGCGTTCAATGGATCGATTGAATAGTAACCAGTAGATGTGTCATCTCCCATTACGTTTAAGACGGTAACTGGTTCACGCGAGCCGATTGGATCCAGTTCAGAAAAGAACTACATTCACCAGTTAATTTCTTAATTTATTATTATGTCATTAAAAATATAAAATACTATGGTTGTAATAGTGAACAGGCTATTCGATTGTAATAACAATGATCCATAATAATATGGATCACATTCAAAGATTCTTACTTTAGGAACATTCATCCGTTGCAAAAACATACATCCAGTATTCCGCCCAGAGTTTGCTGGTACATTCTCTTTTATTGCTATTGTATTGTCAGAAAGGTAAAAGTGAATTTCAAGGTCGTGAACAATACCATAAAGACTATCTGTGTCATCCCAATAACCGTAAAATCGTAGTACTTGTCTATCATATTTCAGAAAATCGCCGCGAGTATCAATCCTTCGATTGGGTTTCTTTGGAAATGTTTTCTATTGTAATATAAAAACGACACTGTTACCTTAAAATAATAGAAATTTTTCCAACAAAAATATTTAAACATTGTTTTAGGTTTAATTATGAATTTATTTACAAAAATAATTAAAGTATAGTAATTTAAATAATGTAATAAAATGGATATCACATTACTCACCAAATAAAATTGCAAATACTTTAGAATAATGACAGGGCACGTATTCAAAACGGTTAAAAAATTACAATAAATAAAAAACGTAAGCAAAATAATGAAATATGGTCATCAGTCTATATAAATCTATTACAAAAATATTAGAACCTATCATATTCTAATCTATTTTACATTTTATTTCCACATAAACGCGGTTTTCTCTGTATATAATCTACGTAAATAGAAGATTTTGTAAAGTTGAAGATAACTGCATTAAAAGGACTCCTTTGCGAACATTATATCGGCAATACGTGGTAAACTGGATTAATTTGCCCTTGTTTTAAAAAATATTATATTTTTAATTTGTTCCTATCGTAAAAATGCAATAAAAAGTATAATAATATTATTGTACTGAGAGATGACTTATTTTGCGCATTTATTCTTTTACTATTAGTCATTAATCACCGACTTCATATAACTCAAACAAGAACAGAATTTAAATATCAATACTTCATTGGATATAAAGATGAGAATACTTTAACAAATGATTATTTTATTGTAGTATGGATGATAAACTTACGCATTTCCGTAACTCAATGTATGGATCCTTTGGAATATTAATGGGATCAGGAACTGGGATACCCATACGATTTAAAAATCGTCTTGTAAATTTGTCACAATCGACAATCTTATACACTCTACCGAAAATTTCCGGTTCTTTGCCAATATTTAAATCGATTATATCATAATATCTGTACCTTGCTGGATTAGGCATAGGTATTCTTTGCCGTCTGAATAAAACACCTACGAAAATAATGCTTTCAAAGTTTTAATAATATTAATAACTATCAAAACATTGTTTTCACTGATTTATTTTTCTTTTAAAAAATCCCGCATTAATATTTAACATTATCATCAAAGTTTTCAAATGCTTC